TAAGCTTTTCTTATCTCCGCCCTAAAGGTAGCCCCGATTATTGCTGACTTAAGCATCGGAGTGTCTACCCCGAGTTCCACCTCGGGGCTTTGCAGGTCATCCCAGAGTGCAGGCGCGGACTGGAGAAGGACTTCTGGTTTGGTGCAATTACATTGGCGCCGTCTGTGGGAATCCGAACTAAAAGCTTTCTAGTTGCTCTTTCATCATGGTTCACACTCGATCAGTCCGAGCTGGCAATTCATCTTTGCCTCATGGGCAAGGTCAACCCCCCAACAACCTCCCACCTCTAATCCCACCTCAAATTCCAACTCAACTTCCACCTCAGCTTCCACCTCAGGTCCCAATTATGTTCCCTCCTGTTGATCATGCAGAAGGAGGAGATGAAAATCAACCTCATGTCTCAGCTCACAATTCAACTTCCACTGCCAACTAAGACGTGGTGACAGCTCAGCTTGCTGCCATGCAGCAGCAGTTTGGTGTTTTTCAGTTGGTACTGGCTCAGCTTCTGGCTAGAAATAATCCTGATGATCCCCTTATTAATTTACTAAACCCTGCTCAACAACCCCTAGCTCCACAACAAAACCCCCAACCGGTTCAACCTGCTCCCGCTGTTAGTGAATCCCAAGATCAATCCCACATAGCACCCGCTCAACAACCCATCCCTGATGATGTTACCCGCCGCCTTGATAGCTTAGAAAAGCTGGTAGCCGAACACCGAAGTGCCCCACCCCTGCACCATGCTACTACTTCCATACCTCACCCCCTGAATACCAACATCACGCTGGAACCCTATCCTACTGGCTTCAAAATACCACAATTGGAAACTTATGATGGGACGAAGGATCCCGATGACCACCTGCACGCTTTTTACTCTTGCATGCAAGCTCAGAACGCCTTTGACGCGTTAATGTGCAAAATTTTCCCCTCTACTCTGCGAGGTAATGCTCGAACTTGGTATTACAGTCTACCCCCGAGGTCGATCAGCTCTTACACAGAAATGGCATCTGCCTTTGCCACTAAGTTTTCCAGTAGAAGGTTGATTAGGAAAACTACTTCTGAGTTGATGAGAGTTAAACAGAGGGACGGGGAGTCTCTGAAGAATTACATGAGCAGGTTCAATGATGCAGTATTGGAGGTTAGTTCTTTTGACCAAGCTGTGGGCATTGCGGCTGTAATCGCTGGTCTCAAACATGATAGGTTCAGAGACAGTTTGATCAAACATGCTGCCACCACCTTTAGCGAGGTGAATGATCGGTCTCTTAAGTTTATAACCGCTGAGGAGTATGCCCTGGCACAAAACCCACCCCCCTCTAAGAACCAGAACCCAGAATGGAGAGACGACAATCTGAGTCGGAAAAGGATGAGGATGGCGCAGAACCGAGGTCCGATGTTGACCTCCCCACCGAGATTCGGAAGGCCGAACTCAACACCTCAGCAACAGTCTGCAGGTAAACCTCCAGTTAATTGGACTCCATTTAATATGCCGAGGTCACAAATTTTATGCAGATAAAAAATAAGATGGACTTGAGACGTCTTGACCCAATGCGAACTGCTGCTGCTAGTCGAGACCATACCAGATATTGTGATTTTCACCAGGTTCACGGCCATACTACAGAGCAGTGTAACAGTTTAAAGTCCGAACTGGAAAGTTTAGCTCAGAAGGGAATGCTGAATGAGTATGTACAGCGAGCTGAACAGCCGAGGTTTGTCAGAGAACAGAGGCCGCAGCCTCAAGGAGCCCGTAATCCCCCAAATAGGCAAGGTGTGGGATATCAACAAACCCCATCTCCACTCCCACCACCAGCTAGAATCATACATATGATTACGGGAGGCCTCGAAGCAGGTGGACTGAGCTCTAAGCAGCGAAAGCTGTATGTCAGGGAGGTTAAACATCAAAACCGAGCTCAGAAGAGGAAGATTGACGATGCTGAATGGAAGAATCAACCAATTACTTTCACATCCGCTGATCTCGATACAGTTGTTACACCCCACAATGATCCTTTGGTCACTTCTGTCATGATTAACAACTGTGAAGTACAGCATGTCCTTGTTGACACCGGGAGTGCACCAAACATCATGTACTTCCACTGTTTCGAGAGTCTGGGACTAGATCCAGCACTGTTGCAGAAGTATGATGGTCCTATCTATGGTTTCAACAACCAGCCTGTTCCAGTAGAAGGAGTTCTTACCCTCCATGTGGCTTTTGGGAGTGGCCGGACCTATGTAACCCCTTCAGTCCGATTCCTCGTCGTCAAAATGGCCTCTTCTTTCAACATTGTTATCGGCCGACCCACATTGATCGAAATCTGAGCTGTGGTTTCCCAATCCCACCTCTATATGAAATTCCCCACTCCTATGGGAATAGCAACACTGCGAGGAAACCAGGAGGTGGCTAGACATTGTTATATCACCTCGGTAACACAACCCATGAAGGGCAAAGCTCAGACACCCGAGGCCATTCCTCAGCGAATTCCTGATAATCAGCAGGATATGGGTGTAGAGATCGTCGATAATCGACCCGAAGATGAAACCAGAGCTGCTCCGGTCGAAGATGTTGAAGAAGTGCTCGTTGATGACAGAGATCCGAGCCGAAAAACGCAGATCGGAACTAGATTGAACCCGGAGGAGAGAGCAGAACTGATAGCTTTTCTCCGAGCTAACAATGATGTATTTGCATGGACTTCGGCAGATATGCCAGGAATTCCAACTTCAGTATGTCAACATAAGCTCAGTACCAACCCATTGAAGAAACCAGTGGCCTAGAAGCGGCGTCTCTTCGGGGGGGAGAGGCTTCAGGCTATTAAAGAAGAGGTAGAGAAACTCCTACAAGCTGGTTTTGTCCGGAAAGTTGATTACTGCGAATGGGTGGCTAACCCAGTCCTGGTGAAGAAGGCCAATGGTAAATGGCGAATGTGCATTGATTACACAAATCTTAACCACGCCTGCCCTAAGGATTGTTATCCAATGCCGAGCATTGACAAATTAGTTGAAGCGGCTTCAGGCAATGAGAGGTTAAGCCTCTTGGATGCATATTCTGGGTATCACCAGGTACCGATGGCTCCTGAAGACGAAGAGAAGACCTCATTCTATGCTGGCGATGAAATTTATTGCTATGTTATGATGCCGTTCGGCTTAAAGAATGCAGGTGCTACTTATCATAAAATGGTAACCATAGTCTTCCGAGCTCAGATCGGCAAGAATCTAGAGGTGTATGTGGATGACATCATAGTAAAGAGTCTGAAGGCAGAAAACCATCTAGCCGACCTTGATGAGACCTTTAACAACCTCAGAAAGAACCGGATGCGGTTAAACCCAGCCAAGTGTATCTTCGGAGTGGAGTCTGGAAAGTTTCTAGGTTTCATGGTGTCCCGAAGAGGGATTGAGGTCAATCCAGAGAAGATCA